GGGGAGGAAAGCCCGGCTGCGAACTCTGCAGCGGGGTTCAAACGGAACTCCGCTAACAGGGCTGCCGCCGCGCCCGCGCTGTGCCTGCCTGCCGTCTCCTCTCGGCGGTGCCGCTGCGGTAGCGGCGGCGGGCTGCTGTAGTGGGGCTGCCCCGTCAGTTACTCAGAAAAGACGGCAGAAGAGCCGTGAGTCACACTTTTATATCCGTGCTGATGCGTGCTTGCCTCCCTTTTGTGCCTCTCCGCAGTGTAAGTTAGGAGGCCCCGCGGATTCGTCAGGAGCGGCAGGCACAAATGCCTTCCCCCGTGACATCCCGAGGCTCTCTGCCCTTCGGAAAAAATGGATCAACTCCTGTGTGCTGGTTGTAGCTCGGGACATGTAGTAAAAGCAAGAAGATGAGCACAGTCTGATGGAATGGACTTGTGTTGGAGGACAGGGTCGATGCTGCTGCATCGCTGCGCTTGGGAAGGGGGTGCAGATCTCCTTGAGATGAGTCAAGCACATGGTGGCTGTGGGCTGCAGATTTCCCCGCTCATCCCAAATGGAGCCTTTCCCATGGACTCCATCTTCTGGACGTTGCACATGTTGGTGTGTGCTCTGCATGGGAAGGAGGTCCAGCAAGTAGCCCTGCTTCATGCGGAAACAATTCCAGATAGCTTGCTTGTAAGGATTTTTTTTTTTTACAATAGACAGCCCACTGTGTTGTTTTGATCTATTCCCTGTATACATCTTTCGATGTGTGGAAATGTATACAGCCTGAGTGGCAAAACCAGCTCCCTTACTATTATGAGCCAGTTGTTCCCTATCTGAGATGTTTCTGTGGCTGACTGGGTAGTGTAATTCTCTTAATTGATTTCCAGAGTGGGTACAGACAATCTTTTGTAGCCAGCCAGATTATCATCTTGTTGTTCTTCAGCTGCGCTTATCGATGGTGGGATGAGATACATATGTGGAGGAAAGTTTAGAGGGGAGGACAGTTCAGACTAGCATCTTCTGGCACTTAGAGTAGAATTCAACTTCCCTGACTTGGACATCTAAAGACAGTAGGTTGGATTTAAATGCTGTTCGCCTAATGATAGGCATCGGAGATGCCTCAGGTGAGACTTCCAGAAGTGCCTATTTCTTTCAGGGCCTAAAGGAGGAACAGTCAGGTGACTGGTTCCATTTCAGACACCAACTTTTTAGTTGCCTAAGGGCAGTAAATTCCACTTCTGGTGGTAGGAATTGTAAATTATTTGGTAATGTTGAAGATAATGCTAGAGTACCTCCTAAATGCTTGTATAACATGTAGAATATTCTACCTACAGGGAAAGTGTGGCGAAGGCTGAAGAGATGTGAGAGTGTGCATATAGGCTCAGGCGTATATATGGTACACATATAGTCGTAGAACTAGAATTGTGTTATTTAACAGAGCCGAGCCAAACTTTGTGAGTGTTAAGAACTCTTGAGGTCAGCATGAGTGATGGAACATCTCAGGGGGGATGGGGCCTGAGCAATCGGTTGTGGGAAACCAAGAGAAGAGAGTACAGAGGTGCTGGCCAGAGAGGGGCCAAATAACTGTAGACAGCTAGCCCCTGTCTTCATTCATCTTGAAGTCCAGGCTGCTGGGTTGGGTTAATGGCAGTTCTGTCAGAGCGTTGAAAAGAATTGTGCCATAGGGATTGGCAGAATCTAACTGCCTGAGGAACGGAGTGCACACTGGTATATAGCTAGGATCTGTTCATCCAACCCATCCATCCTGCTGCGGTTGTCTTTCTAGCTTGTGGAAGTCATCCCTACATGTCCCAGTTGCTTGTTTGCAGCATTCATAATAGCTGAGGTATTGGTGATCGTGATAGACAAGTTGTTGGGAGACTTTTTCCAATTGGCTAGATCTGTGTGGTGGCTGTTTGTATATGACTGCTGTGGTGAAGGTTTTCCACACCTTAAGCTGCCAGACAAGTGCTTCACATTGGCAGGTTCACTGACATTCATTGGTCAGACTCCCCAGAAGCACCTCAGGCTGTCATTCAGGAGACACCTCTGGTGCCTTAGACCTTTCTAGAAGAAAAAAATTGAATATGACATCTTTATTTCCTTTCTCCCTGCATTATGGGATCACCATTCCTCTTTCATACCACTGCCCCCCTACTCTCATGTGGATGGCTGTCATTACTGCATATCTCCAGAATGCAGGGAGCAGCATCCTATGAGATCTAGACTAACGGTGCTCCCCAAATTGCTTGTAGGAAGCACCCACTAGCCCCATATTCCCATCAAAGTCTTATGCGCAGTTAAATTGCTCTTTCTTCTTGTTCACAGTGCGTAAGCAAGAGATCATTAAGATAACAGAGCAGCTGATAGAAGCCATCAACAATGGAGACTTTGAGGCTTATACGTAAGTCCGGATGTCTTCTGACAGGTTGTTTATCAGTTTGTGTACAATGATGTTCTGGCTCCTGGGTGTGAAGAGCTGTCATGCAGTCAGGGATGGTAAAAAGTTTTGTGCTCTTTAGCCTCCATCATTTAGGAGTAGGGATATGGTAGAGCTCTCTAAATGAACATCAAGTAGAAGTCAGGTATCAAACATCAACAGGAGCAACAAAAGGAAAATGTCCTGGCTTTGTAAGAAAAGTAGGGGGAAGGACAATGAGATGGGCAGAAGGACAATAAAGGAAAAGCCTAGAAGCTTATTTTATGTGAAATGCCAACTAGCACCAACTCTTGTGTTGTTGCGGTAGGACTGAGTCCTCCAGGAACTTACTCCTTGGAGTAGGGAAATAAATAGGTGGACACAGGGTGTGAGTCAAAAGTTGTACCAGCACTTCATTGTGTAAATAGCCCTTGGGCTCAAATGCAGACTGTAAGCCTGTGGTGCTTTTCTTTGCAGAAAAATCTGTGATCCTGGCTTGACCTCATTTGAACCTGAAGCACTGGGGAACCTGGTTGAAGGAATGGATTTCCATAAGTTTTACTTTGAGAACCGTGAGTGGGTAGATTTGGTAACACCAACAGCTTTCTCTCTGATCTTCTTTTATGCCACATTTTGGGGAGAGAATTGCCCTTGTTTTTACTGGCTGTCAGAACCAGCAAGAACTTGATTGTGCATGGGTTATGATGCATTCATGAGAGCCAGCATGCTTTCTCTCAAAAGCCTTTTTCAGCAAAAATTTCAATTCTAACTCCCAGATCCCTGCACTGCAGGCATACAATTTGCCTGGCCCAAATATTTTGTAAGCATGGACTGCAGGAGCTTTAGAAGTTTGAGGTGCCGGATTTCCTACTGATATGGAAATGGAAAAAATGAGCATGTTTTGATGGAAACAACGTGTATGTTTGGGGTAGACATACTGAATGGTCAGACATAGTCATGCACAAATCAGTCATGCCTTCACTATGAGTTTTCCCTGGACATTTCAGATCTCTAACACCTAGTGAAGCCATTATGTGGATACAAGGGTCACCTTGTCAGCCTGGGGCAGGAAAAAGAGTTGGGAGAAATGCTATCATTTATACTAGTGGATTTGCCTCCCTTCCTGGATGTCTTCACAGGATGAGATCATTGAAATTTAAATCCTGAGCTGTTCAATTTGTTTTATTGTGGAGGTTAGGTCAAGGTCCTTAGTATAGGCAATTCCTAGTGCTCTAATTATGCAGACTTTGTCTCTCTCAAAAGCCTGTTCTGGAGTGATTTTTACACTTCTCTGAGGCTTGTTCATATTTAATGCAGGTCTAGCTTAAAGATCTGATTATTGACTCCTTTGCAACAATATTCTGTAATTAAAAGATCTTTTCTATAACTGAAAAAATGGCAGCGCTGATGTTAAAAAAAGTGGCGAGTATGCTTTGCAGAAGAAGTGGGAGCAAAGGGGCCAGGGGATTCTAGGCAATAAGTGTGCAGTTCCTAAGGAGAAGAACAGGTGATAGGGGAAAGAATTGCTTGGATTCTGCCTGGAAAATTGTAGGAGCAATTATTATTGTATCCCAGAATCCAGTGGAAGGTGAGTAGAATACAAAAGAGGTTGGAGGATGTGGGGAGCTGTTCCTCAGTAGTAAAATGAAGCTGATGGTTTTGCATGTTCTGCCAGTACTGTCGAAGAACAGCAAGCCAATACACACCACCATCCTGAACCCCCATGTCCATGTCATTGGTGAAGATGCTGCCTGCATCGCATACATCCGCCTGACACAGTACATCGATGGCCAAGGCCGGCCCCGCACCACGCAGTCTGAAGAGACCCGCGTCTGGCACCGCCGAGATGGCAAGTGGCTTAATGTCCACTACCACTGCTCTGGAGCTCCTGCAGCACCTCTCCAGTGAGGATCAAATACGGGTATGGACTATCAAGGAAGGAGTATATCATGCACACAGCTAAGGCTGCTGTATGTGGGAATTCACTGTTCAAGGCTGTTTAGCTGGCTGTGAGAGAACCATTTTTAGCTGTCTGTAGGCCAAAAACTTCTGCTGATCAGTTGGTGGTCCTTTCTCTAAGCCCTGTCATCTGGAGTCAGTAGATTTAGCTGCCACTCGTGATGAACTGGAGTCATGTGTCAGATGCTTGTTCCTGAGCATAGCTACCCCTGTAGCAGTAGTGCTTCCTCCCAGGTACTCAGCTCTGTGCTCGGACAGAGTGCTAATGCAGAGCGGAGAGGAAGAGTATCTCATGCTGTGCACAGGTTTGCTGTTTCCCAGCTGTCAGGGACCTGCCTTTACATGCTGGGGGTGATTTCAGAGAACTTTTTTGATGAGAATGTTGTATTTAGAGAGGATATTGTAAAATCTATACAGAACAATTTCTATGTCGTAAGGGTAAAGATTTATTCATATAAATTTTACTACTGATTTTCTGATTAACAGAAGCTATTCAGTGTACAATGTTGAGAAAACTCAGAGGAAAAAAAAAACCTAAACAAATAATAATATCAGAGGATTTAAAATAAGCTCCAATTAGCTTGCCACAATTCAGTGTTAGAGGAAACTTTGATTATAAAATTTGACGTGAAGAAATGATTGTTGCTTGCTCCTGAAGGACAGCAGATCCATTTACTTCTGCAGCATAGGCATTCTTGTTTACTGCCTTACTGGTTTCTTTTAGTTAGATGTACAAAGTCTTTCTGCCTCCTTTTTGTTTCATGCTGAACTATATTTCACGTCCATTTTAAAGATCTAAGTTTCCTCATCTTAGGACCTTTTTACTAAAGATTTTCTACTTAAGAGCAAACACAAAGAACATCTACATCTGGGAGACAAGCTTTTTTTAATGCGGTCATTTGAGGGTGAACCACTCAAGTATAGTTACTACTTGAGTCCTAGTCTTGAGTACTACTTGGGACTAAGCCAAAAGCAGGTTTTTTTTCTTACGTATTGTGAGGGATTCAACCCTACTGAAGGCAATGGAAAGGAATGTGAACTATCTATCACAAACAAACTGCAGAGGTCACAGATGGAATTTGAAAAGCAAAAGCCAGTTGGGGGCACCAGAAGCAAGGAAGCTTTCGAGAGAGCTGGACAATCAGCTGATTTTCCAGGGAGTAAGGCAGTGAGAAGGATAAAGCCTTTGCAGGGAAACAAAAAATAATTTACTTGCATCAGTTTTCATCACAGAGATGTTGAGGGACACTTCTGTCCTGGATTTAGTCAAAAAAAGATGCAGAAGAAATTACTAAATTAAAGATTGGTATGGCTCAGTGGCTGTGCCTCGGAGTTCTGAGAAAGCTTAGGAATGGAGAGTGTTAACCGCTACAGAAGAGGTATGTTTCCTTGGCTTGGCTGCTGAAATGTTGCACCTCCTCCAAAAGTATGTGCTGGAGGGTTTCTGAAAACTGCAGAGCAGAAGCCATTTCCAAACCACAAAATGTTGGTTAAAACAATATTATAAAAAGCCTGTAAACTAAATTGAAGTATTTGCATGCATTTCTGGGTTCTGAAGGAGGTGTGATCATGTGCAATTACAAGTGGGCAGCCCCCATCTGAACACACTGAATCATTTCGGAGCAGCATTGGCCCGTGTGCAGTGAAGGGCAAGGATGAAGGAGGGATGAGGTGAATAAGAGTGCTTAAATAGAAATCGGTGGTTTGTTCTCACCTGGAAGGCAGAGTTCAGTTTTGGGTAAGTCGTCTTAAAAGGAAACTGCAGCTGTAAAGGAAGTTTGAGGTTAATCAGAGGACTTCCATGTAAGGAGAGAGTGGAAACTGAGAAGGGAGAAGACTAGTAAGAGGGTTTGCAACAAAGATTTGCAAACCAAGAAATGGTAGAAAGAAGATTTTGGCTACACTTTCGTGGCAGGACAGTGCTAAACAAACATGAAAAAAACCCAAACGTAAAACTGATCAAAATAAATCCAGTAATTTGACACAAGAAGATTAGCCAGGAGGAGCCTTTGCTAAAAGCAGTCGCTAGGACTACAACTTTGCAAAACTGCAGAAAAGCTCATACATTCATTTAAATATAAAGAACATTCAGAGACAAAATTACTTAAGTCTTAAAGAAAAAGAAAAATTAAAAAAAAGAATGATCCTTCAGTTCAAGGCAAAAGCCAATGGGAAGTGAGGCAGAAACTGTTCTTTAGGACCAGAGCCTTTGATCACCCCTTGGGAAATTTCTTCAGCTTCTGGGATGCCACTGTTAGATAGTGGGCCCAGGTCTGCTCCAATCAAGCAAGTAATTCATTTTAGCAAGTAGTTCATTTTCATTGGCACACACAGCCACCTGGAAGGGAAAGTGTCTGCCTCTTGGCTTTCGGGCTCTTCTCATGAGCCCCAGTCTATGTTGCATTAGGAAGGGTTTCTGCCTGCACCAAATAATTAGCCTGTAAAAAGCGTGTTTTATTAATTGTGTACAGCTAATGTTTGGCTTTATTTCTTCCATCTTCCATCCTGTTCTCCGCCTCTCCTTTCTGGGTGGACACCACCTCTTCCTGACTGCAGCAACTTGTGGAGATACTCAGCTGGAGGGCAATATCTTCTTAGCAAGCAGCTCTGGAGTGCCTGAGTGACAGCAACGGTCATGTCTGTTTTGACGTTAAAAAAAAAAATAATACAAATTACAAACAGGCAGCAGCCAAACGCACGAAACCCTGCATGCATCTGATGCTCCGGGCGCTGCCTTTCTGTTGTTTTCCATGGATCCATCGTGTCTGTTTCTGCTGTACGAAGGTGTTTTTAAATCTTAAAAAAAAAAAAAAAAAAGACATGTTGTTTGTATAAAATAATAAAAACCAGGAATAATGCTAAATAAATGACAGATTATCCAACATGCCCCCTCCCCCAGGGCTAAGAAAATGGCAGCAGCTGGAACATCTTTCGGAAATGAAGTGAGGGGGAAAGCAAAAGTGAAGGAGAGAGAAAGAGAGAGGGAGAGCAAAAATGGAAGCGGCTTGAGCAGTGGATGGCCGAACTGTGCTCCGCAAAGCCGTGGTGGAAGTTAACATCGCATTCAGGCTGTGCTGCGACTTCAGTCGGTGAGAGGTGGCGAGGAGACCCCAGAGGAGCCAGTGTGAAGACTGGGGTTCAAGAGAGAGGAGGCACTTCTCTTCCTGTTGCCCAGCAGACTGACTTCAGCCTGTTTCTTCTTCAATTTCTGCACAGCAAGAACGCTATGGAAAGCTGGTTGCTCGGCTGCTGGATCCCAAAACAGACTTTTTTTTTTTTTAAAGAAAAAAAACAAAATGGGATGTTGAATTAAAACTAAAGGTGGAGGTAGGGATTAAAAAAAAAAGGGGTTTAAGTGAATATAACTTAAATAGAAGCTTGCTTTTCAGAGATACTGGTTTTAGAAACAGCCACTACCTGGCGAAACATGGAGGTTTGAAGCCATCTTATTTAATTTAACAAGACAAAAAAAGCATTGCATTAAGAGCAGAGATTTGGGAGGAAGAGGGTACATGAATGGGATTTTCTATTTTTTTTTTTTTTTCCTTTCTAGTAGCATAGTTGGGATCCACAGTGCTGCAGAACACGTGTTCCGTAGGAAGCAGACAAAAAACTTAGTGTTACGTTCTTCATGAAAACTTGCACATACACTCCTATATGAGGCATAAATAGCGTGTGTTTTTTATACTGAAATATATGCACCCATAGAATTAAAGGGGTTACCTGGCCTCCTGTTTGATTTCTTTGGTCTCCTAGTAAAATAGTAGTGGGAGCCAGCAGCCCCAGCCAGGTGCTTCTCCCCACCACTAACCCATCTGATGTTTGTAAGTGTCATGTTTCCTAGTGTTTATTTGGGTAATTTTTCTATTTTTTACAGTGATGTTGTAACACAGAAAACTATCAGATCAGAACCTCAGAAACTATAGCTGCGGGACTCCAGGCCACCTCCCTGTGTTGCCTCTGGGTGTTAGAGGATACCTCATGAAGCAGAGGGGGAAGGGAATTAGCACATGTGATCTGATGTTTGTCCTTTGGGCCAATTCATCTTCCTTTCTTTTCTTTGCTGTAAAAGGAGTCCATTTTCTTTATTCATTGGGTGGGGAATGTGGAAGTGTTTTGTTGACCTTGCCAAGGAGGGAGCCTAGCCCCAGGAAGAAAATGGCCTTTCTGGTGGACCTGATAGGATTTGTCTTGACCAAGGGAAGGCATCACTTCCAGAAGTTGGGATGGGCTTTTACCTGAATTTCTGCCTACCCCTAATCATTTTTCAGATTTTTCAAGGGAGTTAAAGTGAATGCATTGACAGCATACTAAGTGTGAGACAACCTTTTTACAGACTATGGAAGAGAAGAAAGCCAATTTGGAATTTCAATCCTTATTTAACAGAATGCAGAAAATAAAAGCTGTTGCACAAAGTGAAGCTGTCACTTTGCAACAGATAGCTCTCTGCTTCCTTTATTGGAAAGGTGCTATCCCACACCAGGATTAGATCAGCTAACCCCTGATGAAGGAGAAGACCATCTGTCCCCATTTCCCAGGTTTCTCTGAGCAAATACCCTTTCCTTCCTCCCTCCGCCACCCCAGGGAGGAGTGTGGGGATTGAACTCATGGGGAGCAAACACTAGATTTTATTATTTCAAAACCATTTTAAGACAGCACTAAGCCAGTGAGTGAAGTGGAAAAGTGGAAAGCCTTGATATTTTATTCAGTTGTGTTTTTTTTTAAGCCACAAAGAGAGAGCAAACAGGAGATTACAATTATGCCATTTTAAAAAGATAAATACAAAACATGCATGCCTTCTTTAGGTCTGATCTTCCATGTCTCTTTACCTGATGATTATTAATGATTAAAAAGAAAACCCTCTGTATTAAATATCTGCATCTTACAGAGAAAATTTTAAAAGAACAGAACTGTTGGGTTTTTTGGTTTTGCACAGTCTTGGAGACAAACTCTCTTTTGGGTTTTTTTTGTTTGTTTTGTTTCCTTTTAAGTTAATGAGAACCTTAGCTTGGTATGGCCATTATCAAACACAGCTGTACACCTTTAGCATTCTTAATGTTCTCTTATGGGGCTAATATAAGCATCTATATAATATATATTATAAATATCACATTTTAAACAGGAAATGGAAGGCATTTGATGCAGAATTTTTGCATGATATAGAAATAATTAAAGTTAGCTAGTGTTTGTTTGTTTGGTCTGAATGTTGGTAGAACCTTCATAGCTTTGTTACAATGAAACCTTGAACTGAAGATATTTAATAAAATAACATTTAAACAGTGCAAAGTTTTGAGCGTCATGTTTTTCTCTTAAACCACGGGACAATGTGGAATTGGCACTTCTGGGGTAAGAATCAATCTGCGAAGCTTCTTTTTGGGTCAGTAAATCATATGATTTAAAAATGTCATTTTTAAAAAGGAAAAAAGGTAAGTGGTACCATACTTAACCCCAAAAAATACCAGTGTTAATAAAAACAAAGGGACAACAGAACCTGTTAAGATTAACTTCATGGCATTTCCCTGACAGACCATAGGGTAATAGGGAAATGTTGCTTCTGTTCCTGATAGCCTAGGCCTTGGCAAGCCTATGCTGTTACTTCCTTTCTTGGTCTTTGTTTTCCTCACCAATATTTCAGACTCTTTATAGGAGAAGCCGTCTTGCCGTTAGGTTTGCCTGATGTAAACATGCTGAACTCAAGTTGGGTGGCAGCTCTTATATTTGTGAGCTAGTGTATTTTGTGTCCTAGATGGGATGCTCCTGCAGAGGCACAGATCAACCCCTCACCTGTACAAATTTGCCTGGTCTAGCAGCGTAAGCGTGATTTCCTAACAAAAGTTGGAAGTTAGCTGCATTTAGCCTGTTTTGTTTCTATACTGTCTCTTGTTATTAGCATTTCATTTATGCTCCCTTGGGTGGGCTTTGTTCCATTCAGGCCTTCGCTGCTTTGGCATTTTTCTTTTATTTCCCACCTTGTCCTGTTCACGCTGCTGTCTTAAGGGTAGGTGAGCTCAGCAGTGAGCCTGCAGTGTGTACTGCTCTTCTCTTCTGTTGGGGCCCCTTCCCAGCGGGGCTGGGGAGCGCGGCTGTCACTGGGACAGAGATGCTTGTGTGCTTTTCTGCATCTCCTGGTATCACTGGCCTTGTGGTAGTTGAGCGTGTGCCGGTTCTGGCAGAGTTACTTCTGTGATTGCACGGGGATACACATCTTGTTTTGGTACTGGCTGCAGCTAAGCCTGAGGGGCTCTAGCTAGTGTTTGTTGCCCCCATTTGTGCAGGCTTGGCTGGCCTCCCGCTCCCCTGAGCTCTCCTCAGGTGCACCTGAGAAGAGCTGCAGGTGGGAGGGGGTGGCTTTGCCTTATCACCGAAAGAGAGTTCAGTGTGCTTAATCCCCTTTAACTGCAGCAATTACCTAGTAAATAGGTGTCAGTTGCTGCTGCTTAAAGAAATGATTGCTTTTGCTGCCTGATGAAATAGGAGGAAAATTGTCCTTAGTGTTTAAAGGGAGAAGGTAAGAGTTTTACAGCCCACTTCGCTGGGACTGAAGACAATCTGTTCATGGCTGGGAGAGATAGCTCCTGCTATTACAGTAGCAAAGAGAGGTTCTGCTATAATTTCTGACATCCAAGGTGGCATCATTCATCAGGTAAGGTCTCTCCTGAAGCAGTTAATCATATCTTAATGATCTTTGAAGAAATGTTGCAGTATGATCCAATATGCCCTAGGAAGATACCCATAAAGTTACTGATGATTTCCCATGTTCTTAGTAGCTCTTTTAACCAGGACAAGAGTAATTTAAACACTTGCTGAAAGCACAGTAGTCAGACTAATGCTTATGTCAAGAATATTTATGTGGCATATATATGGGGCCTTTCAGAGGGTTCCTGTGTATGTGGGTGATTTGAGTACATTTAAAAAAGGTGATGGTGTTCCATTTAAGCTGTACTGTATGTGCCTTTACCACTTGCAAGTGCTCTATTAGTCTTGGGCAGGGGCGCTGAAAAATGGGATAGAATCTGCTCCAGAAAGGGTTCCTGTCTTATGCTTTCTTATGTTTCAGCTGGCAGCAGGGATTGGGAATGGTACTTATCTGTAGTGTGATAGCTCCCGTATTGAGCTATCAAGTAGTGATATTCCCAGAAACTTATTTTCCAGTATGCCATATCTGGTTAAAATCTGCTCACCCTATTGGATGGCATTTTGCCATCTTCCTCCCTAAGAGAAGTGTCTGAGCATCGTTTTCCAAGTTTCCTCCCTCTCTCCCAGTATATGCCCATGTATGCTTGTACATGTAGGTGGATTACTTTGTAGGAGACATATGATTGATGGTCACTTTTATTTGTGCTCAAATCAGATTTCCTTTTAAACTAGGATTGGTGTGTTCTCACTTGCTGGGCTAGTGGCACAAAGTCTGGCAGGATGCTTTTATGCTATTGTAGGTATGAGATGTGGGGAGAAGCAGGAGCAGAACTAGACCTCAAGTGTCAATATCCTTTCTATTTTATTATGCAAACTGTTAGCTTTTACTTATGTGTAACTGATAATGTAGACAAATGGACAGAGCATGTGACTAACGATCAGGAGATTTGTGATCTATTTCTGGTTTTGCTGTGGCTCTGCAGGGTGACTGCAGACAAGCCACTTGTGTTCTCTGTGCTTCAGCTTTCCCATTTGTCCATGCAGATAATGAGACTGACCTCTGTAGAAACCACTGGAAGAGATTGATGAACAGTGATGCAGAGCAGCTGGGTGGTATTGTGGCTACACATCACAGATGGCTCCCCCCTCACCCTGAGAATTAGAAAGATTTGGGACTGCAGACTAATGCACCTGGAATGCTTGGTTTTTGGGGTTTGGTATACATTTATTTTAGAGTTGGGAAAGGTGGTCCTTGGGGCACTTAAAGTGGCTCGAGTGGAGAGTTATGAATTTTTCCCTTGAGGTCCATAGTGCCTGAGAACTCCTGACCTGCAGGAATGCCCTGCCTGCCAGTAAGGAATAGGAATTTACTGTAGTATTATGAAGAATTTTAAGCAAGCAATTTCTTCTATACTTAACAAGTATTACAAAACAAAAATGCATATGCTCATGGTTTTTAAGACAACCTGGCCACACTGAAAGGATGCAAATAATTAAGTCAATACAATCTCAGTCTGAAAGTTCCTTATGCTGTAGTGGGGTCTTCTAAAGCACAGGTGGACGTGAGGGAGAGGAAACGTTGTTGTCCCTAATCTGTGACAATTTGCATAACTTTACTCACCATAATTATCCATGAATGGATGGGCAGGATGATGGTTTATTCACAGAAAACCTTTTTGTTAATGCATCATGTGACTGTGCATTGGCAGAGTTGGGATTTGGCCGGTTCTTCTTGGGATGAAATACTGTCTCATCATGATTTATTTCTCTTTCATGTTTCTGTGGAAAAGTGTAGTGTTCATAACCAACAGAGGACAGCCTGCAAAAATGGCATCAAGGCCTCTTCAGAGGCCTTGTTTACACTGGAATATCCTATACGTTGTATCAGTAGTTACAGCAGTGCTACTGCTGTATGGTTGTTCCTGTTCCAGAAAGTAGTTATTTATTTGTTTCTTACTATGTATTTAGAAGTTCAAAATAAACTGAAAATGAGTACTTATACAGGAGGGAGGTGTTCTGCTCATGTGTTGCTCGAAATTCATTGCTTTGGATTTATCGTATTGTATAAAAAAGGTCCAAACTTTGAGATAGATTGTCTCAAATGTTTTTAAGAATTGTAAATGGATTTCAGCCTTGTTCATTCCAAAATAGTATTAATGCTGAAATTATTTTAAATTTCATAAGTCAGCAAGTTTGAACACCACCTCATCTGTTACAGTATCAGTAAAAATCTTCCATACCTATTAGAAATACTTCATTGAGCTTCCACATTAACAGTAACACATTTAATCTTTTATACAGCTTTATACTTCAACCTTCCCTTTTGAAAGAAGCAGGCTTCCTGACCCATTAAAACTTCAGTAGAAGTGGGCAAATAGAAATATTCATTATAACTCAGTTTTTTACTGAATATCGAGGGAAGGATTGTTTGTTTGCTTATGTAACCTTAAGAAGGAGAAGTTACTTCAGAGAAACGCAACGTTAGCAGGGATAGCACATGCGAAGTGAGATAGGCACAGAGCAATATGATAGCCTGGAAGATGGAAAAGGAGTAATAAAGCCAAGCATTTGGAGTGTGAGGAGGCTGGTGTGGGGAAGAGAGCGGAGATGCAAGATGGATTTAAAGGTGTCTTGCAAGTGACTAGAGGAAGCTACATCCGAGGTAGCTAGAAAGACAATGATGACGGAGGCATTGAGAGTTGTCATGTGGTGAAATGAAAAGGAAGGCAGGTGAATTCTGCTCTGGTGGTTTGAGGAAGGAGGAGGAGTTTGGAGAGATGGGGTGTATTTTGGGGTTGTTTCTTCCACTGAAGATTTAAGAGGAATTTTAAGCCAATATTGTTGCACTTGTATAGTGCACTATAGTGTACAACGTATGCTCCTGTCAACGATTCCCCTCCCTCACTGTTATTGAGATTGGTTGGACTGAGGGAGGGAGGGGAACTACCAAAAACCTGTATTTACACCAGAATACCAGACTGTTTTGAATCGGTAGATCCAGTTTCACAGAATGTAGTACTGGATCATAAATGCTACAAGCACGTGACACAAAGTGCTGAACTGCCACAGATTCCCTCTGTTGGCTCAGATTTGCTCAGCTGTTTTGGAAAGTGCAAGGTCTGTGGTGGATTGTCTATCACCTGCTGCTGCCACGCTAGCTTCAGGATGGCTGCAGGCAGGGGGGTGATATTTAATCTGATCTAAGTGCTGTGGCACGTGTTTGGGCTAATTCAACAGAGGTGCAATCACATGTTCAAATATATGCTGCTGGGTATTTTTGGCAGTGTGTGGACCCACTGTGATGGGACCGCAGCCTTGGTGCAGATGGTGGGAGCAGCTGCCTCATCAGCCTCTGCTGAGGTGGGGTGCTGTTGGCCAGAAAGCAGAACAGGCTGCACTAAAGATATGCTTGCTCATAGCTTTGTCTGCTTTACTTTGGTTATTTGATTCACCTGCTAACTCAGGCTTAACAGGCTTGCAGAAGCATGGTCAGAGCTTCAGGTACAAACTGAGAGCTGAAGATGAAAATCCCTGTATAAACATGTCTGAAAGCAGTGACTCTCAAGCTTTTTCAGCTTTTCAGTGGAGGAGCAGGTTCCTATACAGCAATTTTACATCTTGGCTTGCTTTTTGAGGGTTTCCTGGG